AATGTTGATGGGATCTGGATGTTGGGAGGTTTAAAACAATACTTCAGTATACCAGTTGTTACCCTATCTGCTTCTGTTTCCTTGCTACTCCTCTTGTGCTGCTAGGCCCAGCTTCCAGGTGTCACCTGGAAGCTATTTAGAAATGCAGTCTCTCAGCCTGACCTAGGAATCAGAACCTGCACTTTAACAAGATCCCAGGTGATTCGTGGGGACATTAAAGTTTGAGAAACACGGGATACCTGATTTCCTAAATGAAAACGCAGCTCTATGCCTTCTGCAAAATTCAATCGTTCCCTTCTGTTATATCTTGGAGATAAAACTTAACACGAGATTCTGTCTACAACATGAGCATCCTCAATGAAGATGAACTCCTTTTGTCATTTCTTTCCACAGCCGAAGTGTTTCTCTGTTCTAACACTAGGCAATTTCATGAACGTCAAAGCATAAGCCAGTGGCTTAGTTTGAGCTCTTGTTTGAATCCCTTCTTACCCATTCTCACCTTCACAAGTTTTGCCATCACTTCTTAGCACTCGGCCAACCCCACACTCACAGCGATATGAGTTTTTGAGGTTTACACAGATCTCACTGCAGCCACCATTGTTCAGCTCACATTCATTTTCATCTGCAGAACAGAAACCACACCATTTACATGCTGTTGAGCAACTCAATCTTTTCACAAGCCTTTTAGCTGAATATCTACGTCTTTTCAGATCATTTTGATATACCTCCCAACAACCCAATTCCCTCAGAATGGTGATCCAATATAATCTCTTCTAAGGTATTTGACTGCTAACCTGGAAGCTGGTGGTTCAAACCCACCAGCCACTCCTCGGAAGGAAGACTGGGCAATCTACTTCCATAGAGATACTGCCTTGGAAACCCAAGGAGGGGTTGCTATGAGTCAAATTGACTCCACAGCAGTGAGTCTGCTTTTTTTTTTTTTTTTTTATCAACCACCTTGTGGTCCATCTGCCCTCTGCCGGAGCAGAAAGGACCAAACTGCTCGCCAGTTATCCCTGGTCAGTGCAAACAGTTAAGGTACTCCCAAAGGTTGGAGGTTTGAGTCCACCCAGAGCCTCCTTGGAAAAAAGGCCTGGAGATTCTACTTCCCAAAAACCAGCCATTGAAAACACCATGGAGCAGTTTATTCTGACACATGTGAGATCACCATGAGTTGGAATTGACTCAAAGACATGTGATTTTTAATGGGTTGTATCCCCTTAGAGTAGGCTAAAAGTGTCCTCAAATATACCAGTGATCATGCAGATGGTGCAGGGGACCGGGCAACATTTCCTTCTATCAATGATCGTTAGGAGTACAAGCTGACTTCACATCAACTAACAACAAATCCACTTAGCTATATAAAAGAGTAATATTTCTTTCTGTCTTTGCACCCTCTTTAGTGAATTGCCTGTGATGCATCATATTTTGGTTTAATATGTATTCAATAACACAACTGTTTTCTTTCTTATATTTTTGTGGAGAGGTTTTCTGGATTGGAAGTAGATTTTGTTTTTAATTATATTCCCCCAGCACAGTCTTTCATAATTAACAACTGCTCTCAAAACCTATTTTTAAAATTGGAATATTCTCACATTCCACACAAACAATGATAGTCACTCTTTTTAAAGAATCTGATGAAAGATATGAAATATTGCCATTAAAAAAGTGCAGAGTTGGCACTAACGGGCCTGAGCTCCTTAGACCTCTTCTTCTACAAAAGAAGAAAAGGAAAGCTTGTGATTTAAATTTGTCATGGCCCTTAGGAACAACAGACTTGGATAAAGGCAGGGATTGGGTTTGAAACATTCAGAAGGTGAGAGCCTTGGGTTCAGGAGAGGACATAAGCTAGAATTAAAACCCTTGCTTAAGTCCAAACCAAAAAACCAAACTAGTTGCTGTTAGTTCTGACCCATGGTGACCCACGTGTGTCAGAGGAGAATTGTGCTACACAGGGTTTTCAAGGCTGTGACTTTCCAGAATTAACCAGGCATTTCTTCTGAGTTGCCTCTGTGTGGACTTGAACCCCCAACCTTTTGGGTACTAGCTGGGTGCATTAACTATTTGCAATACCCAGAGACTCCATTTCCCTTACCCCAAATTGTTACCCTTAGGTCTCATAGCAAAAATCAACCACTCAGGACCCTTAACAACTGTTACGGTAGGGCCCAAAATGTTCCACAGGACGGCTGGTAGGGTTAATTTAAGAGATTGAAGAACAAAACTTTTCTAAAATAACAAGCCTTTTATGCTGCTTTCCCCCTGATCTCTACCCCGTCCTGACCCCGGTGCAGTTCTTCTTGGCAGGAAGGAGCATGTGTCCTTGCCTTCCTCTACAGACCTCTTCTCAATCTGTTTGAATCTGAACACAGAAAGCTTTTAAAGGCTTTTACATTAAAAGGAAAAAGAGATGATCCTCAATTCTGAGTTTCTCAACTGTTGTCTTCCAGACACATACAATTCAACGTCTTACAAATAAGCTGACTCCCCTTTCTTGCTACTCAGAGAAACAAATTGTCTTAGTGAAGTATAGGAGTGGGTCCTTAGATAATTCCAGACCTGTGCTGTCCAAGAGAAATATAAACCAAGACCCATATGTAATTTTTGTTTCATTCTGTTGTGCATGGTGTCGCTATGAGTCAGAGTTGACTTGACGGCACCGAACAACAGTAAACACATAAAAAAAAAAAGTTTAAAAAAAATTTTTTTATTTAACCCAATACTATGATATTCTCATTTCAATATGGAATCAGTATTCAAAATGATTAATGAGATATTTTTCTTTCTTGTACTAATTCTCAAAATCTGCTGTATTTTATACCTACAGTACATCTCAGTTCAGATGCTAAATTTTCATTGGAAATACTTGGTCTATATTTAGAGTAATGCAATTTATAGTTACTCAAGTTGTCACAAACATTTTTGGCTCTCCAATGACTGAACTATCAGCTTTTAAATTTAAAGGAACAAAAACGGAAATAAAATTAGAACTCCATTTTTCAATTCCACCAATCACATTTCAAGTGCTCCATAGCCACGTGTGGCTAGTGCCTGCTGGATTGGACAGTGTAATTCTAGACTATTCCTAACCACTATATAAATTTAGGAGCTCTGGTAGCATAGTGCCTAAGGCACTTGACTGCTAACCAGAAGGCTGTCGGTTCAAAACCACCAGCTACTCCTCGGAAGGAAGGTTGCACAATCTACTTCCGTAGAGATACTGCTTCGGAAACCCAAGGAGGGGTCGCTATGAGTTGGGTCTGACTCGACGGCACATAACAACAACAACAACATATAAATTTGGCTTGAGGTTAAGTCATGAGCCAAATACCATTCCAAGTGTTCAAAGTCATAAACTGGGAACATGATGGAGCTCAGAGACAGGACAAGTTTTTTATTTGTCCCTTTGATTCCAATAGGCTACTTCAAAATTTGTTTCTTACCAAAGCATGTCTGTTTGTCAGGGCCTAGCATGGTTCCTGGAGAGCACGTGCACTCATTGGCATCCAGACAGCTTCCATGACAGTCCTCATCGCAGATGTCATAAAAATCTATGGAAAGATAAAGATTGCTCATTAGGGCCAAGGACCATGAGTTCACTCATGGGATGGGTTGCTCACCAATATCAAGGGAATTTTCATTGGCCAGGGTGTACCTAATCCAATGGAAAGAGATAAACTGCTCAGGAATATCTATCATTTTGGTCAATGAGTCCCAGCTCCAGACCCATAGTCGCTTGGTGGCCATAGACTTCATGCAAATCTAAAACCTCAACAAGTATGAGCCATAGACTAAGGGCTAAGTACTCAGCTGCTAACTGAAAGGTTGGCTGTTCGAACCCACCAGCTGTTCTACAGGAGAAAAGACCTAGAGATCTGCTCCCCTAAAGATGACAGCCAGGAAACCCTATTACAAACTGGGAGTATCTGTGCTCAAAATCAATGTTGTTCAGCTCTGAGACAGTACAGTTACAATAACTGAATTTCACATGACACTTTTCCCTTTGGCTCAGTCTGTGGACCTAGAGAGAGAAGAAACATCACAGCGCAAGTACTCACGACCACAGTAGACGTGAAAGCAGACACTGGGCTTAGTCAGACGATACACATAGTAGCCTCCAGGGCAAGCCTTAATCTCCACCGTGGTGTTCCAAAGGCAACAATTTCCATTGAAGCTTGCACAGGCCTGCCGTTGCACAATGCCATCTCCTTGTAGCGGGTGGCTGCCATTGAGCCAGACGGGTGCATGGGTCCCACAGTGGTTTTCTGGTATGCAGAAGGTGGGCATGGCATCTCCTGCCATGCCTGTGAAGCGGTACCACTCCCCGTCCATGTGGTTGTCACATAGAGGGGGACCTTGAGATTCTTCCAATTGGTGATCAGTATTCCGCCATGGCTCATTCAGACTGATGTAAGCAGAACAAGGATCTAGGGCTGAAAAGGACACCCAAGAGGCACCTTGTGATGCTTCAGATTATAGTGGCAACACCTTCAATTCACCTCCCTGGTCTTGCATTTTGGCTTTTTTTGGGGTTCAAGAAAGAAATTATCTAAAATATCCAAAACAGCCATTAAAGATTCTTTAGGTTCACTTAAACATCTTTCATAAATGCCTTTTATAAGATTATTTAGAAGCTATTTAAGGTTTAGTGTTGGCGTTAGACTAAATTTTTTATTCAAACTGATCATTTGGTAGGAATATAGCTGTTCAGAACAAGGGAAGGTAGGGTGATAGTCTCACAGAATGCTGTACTCTGGACATATTTAGAGTATTGTGTTTATACCTGCAGGCTGTATTTTATGAACATAATTGATGAACTTTTTTGTCCAGAGGAAGTTGACCAGACTTAAAAGGGGACTTAAAATTTATTTACTGAGAACTATAGTCTGGAGAAGAGAAGATTAACAAATATACATATCTGTCTTCAAAAATCTAGAAAAGAAGAAGGATTAGATGTTCTGTTACAAGGATGTTAGTAGCTCCTGTGGCCCAGTGGTTACAATCATTGCCTGCTAACCAAAAGATCATGGTTTAAACTCACCAACTGCTTTGCAGGAGAAAGATGAGGCAGTCTGCTTCTGTAAAGATTTACAGCCTTAGAAAACTCTATGTGGCAATTTCTACTCTGTCCTACAGGGTTGCTATGATGAAGTGGGTTTGAGGATTTTTTTGGTTACAAGGAAGAGAACAAATTGCTTCTGGAAAGTATATTTCAGTTCAGCCATTTAGTAATGGGAGAATCTGTATCACACAGTAGTAAACTCCTCATCTTTGGAAGTATTCAAGAAAGTATTTGCATGGCCATGTAAAGGAAGATTACAGAAGACTTTTAAATTGGTAGGAAGTTTGTTTTGATAATGAATGTGTAATGCTCATGCCAATGAAAAAGGAAAAGGCCTCAGGTACATGTAAGCTGCTTTGAAATATACAATACAGTGGCAAGTAGTTACCAAAGATATTCTCAAAGTGAGTTTGGCATATATTCTACCAGCTTGTTGAGAAATATCATGAAATCTGCAGTCATAATGTGGCAGTTAAGGTGTATATCAACTTGGCTGGGCCATCGTTTTGAGTGGCAGGCAGCTGGATGCAGTTATTCTCCAAGACTCCACCTCCATGGTGGAATCAGCTGTGAGCAGCTAACCAGCTGAAGGACAGTTGTCTCTTGGCCATGGCCTGCTTCCAATACCTATGGAAGAGCTTTGGGAAAGGTCTAGCTCTTTGGCATGTTTTGTATCCTGCATTTGGCAGAGTCTTGGCCTGCTGTGTTGCCTGTCAATCTTGGGATTGTTCTTGGACTTGAACCAGTGGTCTGCAGTGTTGCCTGCTGATCTTGGGTTTGTCAGCTTCAGCAGCCAACAGCTGCGTGAGTTCAGAAAAAGCCTCTAGCTTCAGTGGGCCTGGAACAGGAGGCAGAGCTGAAGCCCAAGGTCGAGGGGCCTTCACCCAGGCCCTATAGCTGGCACTCTGAACTCAGAATAATAGCCTCCTAAACTCTGGTGGCATAGTGCCTAAGGCATTTGACTGCTAACCAGAAGTCTGGTGGTCAAACTCACCAGCCACTCCTTGGAAGGAAGATCGGTCAATCTACTTCCATAGAAGTAGAAACCCAAAGAAGGCTTGCTATGAGTCGGATCCAACTCAATGGCAGTGAGTTTGGTTTGGTTTTTTAACTGTAAGAGAATAAATTCCTGTTTGTTCAAACTATCCACTTGTGGTCTTTCTGTTATAGCAGCACTACAGAACTGAGACACATAATTTACCATGGTGTCACTATCCTAGTTGTAAAACCCAAAGCCAAACCAAACTCACTGCCATCGAGTAAATTTCGATTCATTGGCCCTTGTTGGGTCTCCAAGGCTGTAAATCCTCATGGAAGCAGACTGCTTCATCTTTCTCCCATGCAGCGGCTGGTGGGTTTGAACCACTGACCTTTTGTTTAGCAGCCAAATGCCTTAACTACTATACCACCGGAGCTCCTTATCCTAGCTAAGGAGCACAATTTTCCAAGCATGATTTTTAGTGCATAAATTACATGGACAAGCATCTCATCAAAAACACTGTAATGAACTAAAAACATAAACACCCCCAATATCCTCACTGCTTTCTTCAACCTCAGGCAAACATTGATTTAATTTAGGTAAACTGTTCTTAGGAGGAGTCTAGGAAATCAAGAAAATCTAGAAAGGAGTACTGACTGGCTGGAGAGTACTATCTTCTGAATGTGTGTGAAGCTGTTTTAACAGACACTGTAGGCAGAGGCTATGAGTTGCAATGGACTCGATGACGGTTTGGCTTTGGAGTCCTGGTGACACAGTAGTTACTGTGCTTGACTGCTAACTGAGCAGTTTGCAGTTCAAACCCACTAGCTGCTCCGTGGGAGAAGGATGTGGCTGTCAATAGGGTCACTTTGAGTCAAAACGGGTAGATGGCAATTTTTTTTTTTTTTTTTTTGGTAGGCAGAGGATTCCCTTTAGGGTGGATACATTTTGTGGGTCAGGAATTCAGTAATGGCTAATAAACCGAAAAAAAAAAAAAAAAAAATCACTGACTGTCATCAAGTAGATTTTAACTCCTCATTACCATATAGGACAGAGGAGAACTGCCTCATAGTTTGTTGTTATTGTTATGTGCTGCCAACATAGAGTTTGTTGTTGTTATGTGCCATTGAGTCGGCCCCAACTCATAGTGAGCCCTCTGAGTCAGTATCACTACGGAAGTAGGATTGCCCAACCTTCCTTCCAAGGAGTGGCTGGTGGGTTTGAACTGCCAGCCATCTGGTTAGCAGGCAAGTGTCTTAGCCACTACGCTACCAGAGCTCATAGAGTTTAGAAGGCTGTAAATCTACAGAAGCAGACTGCTTCATCCTTCTCCCGCAGAGCAGCTGGTGAGTTTGAACTACAGACCTTTTGGTTAGCAGTTGAATGCTTTAACCACTATGTCACCAGATGTGGATAGACCATAATCATAAAATCTGAATTGTCTGGAAAACATTTTAGATTTTCTCAGTCTACATTTCAAACTCAAGTTTACTATCTAAACTAGTCACACGTAGAGAGATTATGTCCCAGTGCTAATGGCCCCAACACGAATACAAGTTTCCCATAAGATCTAAGTAGGATATTGCTTTCAAAAAAATAAAACATTTGCAGAGTTGCGGCTGGCCAGAGCAACCTGGTTACTTCTATAAAATGTTCTTGATGGTCCAACAGAGCCCTAGATCACAGTTCGATATCCCTTGAAGGGAAGAAATGTCCTTGTACTAACCTCTATCCTTTCTCAAAAGGAAAAAAAATTCCTCATCTGCTCTCACTGTTACGGCAAGATTTGCAGTGCAATTGCACAGGTGATTATAAATTCATAGAAATATTCGGTTCATTCCCCTGGCTCTAGTTTTATAAGAAAAGGTTAGATACTCAACCTTTATGGCTCCCTCAATAACTATTTCCTGATTTATAAAGCTTTTCCTTAAGTTTGTCATTTCTCGTGCTAGTGGTTAAAAATTCACTTCCTCTCCTGTTGTAGGGGAGGTATGACAAGAGGAGAAATTTATCCTCTAAAAAAATAAAATAAAACCAATTAAATTTATTTATCTTCTGTGAAATAAATGCTTTTTAAAAAGATATTTTTCTAATGCACCCCCACCCACTTTTCAGACAGTAATTCAATCCTTTAATGATGGCCACTGATCTTAAATCCCGTTTTCACTCTCTCGGTGTGGAGCCCCGAATTCGGTATTATAAAGATTACATTTTGAACTGCTAACATCTACTCCTCAAACAGGAGAGGGGCTTCAGAAAGCACAGCCTTGCGGGTTCTTTCCAAAGTACGAGTCAGAGAGCTGGAGCCTGCCAGGAAGTTCCTCAGCCATTTCCTAGGACGGTCCCTGCTAGTTGCCAGCGCAGGTGCCCTGCACTGGCACCGCGCAGCAGCGTCCGGAAGTGTTTGCAGAATCGCCTTTAGCCCAAGCACCCCACCCCTCCCGGCCTGCCCCCGGAGGCCACCCCTCGGGCTGTGGCCGTCCTGCTCACCCAGAAGCCCGCCCCCTCATCTCCTCCCCTTCCTCCCCCTCCGCGTTCCCTTCCTCTCTTCTCTCCATTTCTCTTTTCCCTCCCCTATGACCTCCTTCCTCTCCTCCCCATCCTGCCCATGACAGGCGCCCACCCCAGAACCGGATTTCCCTCGTTATCTTGCTTCTCGTAATGAACTGAACATCCTAGAAAAACAGAAAAAAATGAAGGTCTGGAGGGTACAAGAGCTACTCCAAATCAAAGCAAACTCACCACAATCGAGTGGATTCCCACTCATAGCGACCCCCACAGGCTTTCCAAGACTGCAATCTTCACGGAAGCACATTACCTCATGTTTAGCAACCAAATGCTCCAACCACTACACTACCGGGCTCCTCAGGCGCTTCCAGAGGGACAGTAAGCAGGGGAAGAGCGAGAAGAACGGGGAATGGAAGTTGTGGGAGGCGAGTTTTGGTTGGCTAGTGGCAGTGGGCGATTAATCCAAGTTAAAGGAGCCGTGGAGGCAGAGTAGTTAACTGCTCAGCTGCTAACTGAAAGGTTAGTGGTTTGTACCATCTGCTCTGTGGGAGAAAGATATGGCAGTCTGCTTCCCTAAAAATGACAGCCTTGGAAACCCTTTGGGGCTATTCTCCTCAGCTCTGTGGGAGAAAGATGTGGCTGTTTCCGTAAAAATTACAGCCTTGGAATCTCTATGGGGCAGTTCTATTCTGTCGTATTATAGGGTCACTGTGAGTCAGAATAGACTCAATGGGTTTGGTTTTGGGTTTAATGCAAAGTTAGCTCAAGCCTTTTTTTTTTTTTTTTTTTTAAACTTCATGTGTTAGACAGCTTTGGGTTTACAGAAAAATAGACATGGTAGTTCCTATATCCCCAGCCCGTTTCCTCTGTTGCTGTTACCATCATGTGTTAGTATGTTTGTTCTCTATGAACTAGTGTCAATACATTATTATTAACTAAAACCGGATGGCACAGAACAACAACAGCAACAAAATTATTATTACATTATTTTTAACTAAAATCCAGTTTATTCAGATTTCCTTAGTTTTTACCTAATGTCTTTGTCTGTTCCAGGATCCCATCCAGGATCCCACATCACATTTAGTTTCCTGATTTAGGCTCTCAAGCTTGTTTTAAAAGATCTAAAGCAAGGCCCCAGTTAACCTGAAGAAACAAATCAGGATGAATTAAATATTGAGCCACTAAAAGTGCCCAGGAGGAAGGTTCCTTTCCCCTTACCCCACTCCCACCTCTTTCCAACTGGGACTTAAATTTTACTGCGGGATGGAGGGGGGGAGAGAAATTTGTTAATAACTGGAATTGACTTTTTTTGGGGGGGCGGCAGCTCATTAGCCAGTTCTGCATCAAACCTGATGACTGAGACAGTTTTAAGTTTCACTCAGTCTGTGCTAAAGGTCATATTTTCAGATGTCAAAACTAAGAGGTTTGGTTTTTCCACATCTGCACCTTCTATGAGAACAGAGTCTCTTGAGTCATTCAAGAAGAAACTCTACCCTCAACTCTAAAAATAATTTTTTTTGCTCTTAAAGTTGGAATTATAAGAGCGTCTATCATATAAAGGGGTTAGAGTTCATGTTACACACACCTCAAGCAATATTAAGCTATTGGCTATGGCAGAGCTGTGGAAATTTTAGATGCCCAGACTAGAGGCTAAATGGAACTTGTAACCGAAATTCTCTGAAAACCTGTCTTCACAGGTTATCAGTGAGTTATCTTTCATTATTCTACAGCTAGTATTTAAGCTCCTAGAGTCTGGCACAAAGGCAAATCTCAACAACAAAAAGTCCACTGTGCCAAGTACTTTAAGCAAGACTCACCCATTGATAATGATGGTGTGATGGTGATGAAAAGGCAGGTGAAAAGCAGAAACTGTGGCATCCCCCTGGGTCAGCCAGCAGCAAGAGACTGAAAATCCCGTTAGTACCACTTTTCCTTTGTCCCCTTCTTTTTCAAGCACTTTTTTTTTTTTTTTAAGGCTCTTATGAAGAAAGACTTTATCATTACTGGTAGGGGCTTTATCAGAGGAAGAGGATGAGTGGGATAAGATGTCCATTGCTCTGGCCTTGACCCCAGATAGACACACTGCTTTAAGCTGTCAACAGGGTTATTTTATTGGTATTTTTTGTGAGGCAAAAAACTCACCATCCCTATCCTCCTATTGTTTTCTCTCAAGAATTCCCTGCAATGATATCTCCTGTATCTTATCCTGAAGGGAATTCTAAATGAGGGACATCCCCTCACGTCAAAACCCTGTTTGTGATTTCTTCTAAGAGGAGTTGACTTCATGAGGAAGCAGCCTTAGCACTGTGTGCCCGATGAGAATGGGATACAGCCAGATGTTGGAAAGGGTTCCTGGGAAACGTCTTTGGTCAGATGGCCAAGGAGTTTGTAACAGCACACAAAAAAGTAGAGGGAGTGCAATGGGGGCAGATTTTTCTTCAAACAAGCCCTTAAGTCTGTTTTATTTTGATCTTTCGGTCTCAAAACTTCCCAAAGAAAGATGACTTAATCTATATCTGCACCAATTCAAGCAGTAATATCTTGAATTTGTTGTATAGTAGTGCCTTCTCTAAACTTTAAAATAGTTGAATGTTATTTATTTTACTAATCCTAACACTAAGATTCAAACCCACCAGCCACTCCTCGGAAGGAAGGTTGGGCAATCCTACTTCCGTAGTGATACCGCCTCGGAAACCCAAGGAGGGGTCGCTATGAGTCGGGGCCGACTCGACGGCATATAACAACAACAACAAACACTAAGATAGGGGTTATAGTTGTGTGTTGTCCAATAGCAACCCTATAGAACAGAGCAGAACTGTGCCATAGGTTTTCCAAGGCTGTCACTTTTACAGTCTGCTTCTGTAAAGATGGAGTCAACAGCAACAAGTTAATCTTTCCGGAAGCAGACTGCCACACCTTTCTCCAGACATGTCTATTATAGAGCAGCTGAGCTCTTAACTGTTCTGCCACCAGGATTCCTTAGCAAATCCATTGCCATTGAGTTGATTCCGACTCATAGCGACACCATAAGGCACAGAAGAACTGCCCCATGGAAGACAGACCAAGGGGCTTGACTTCGGGAACCACTCATTACATTAGCCACACACCGAAAAGTAAAAGACAACGCTCACTGGGGTTTCACTTTTAGACAAAAGAGGGAAAATGTGTGTCATCAGACACAGCCTTGATTACAGGTTTGGGGCTTCCAAGTTCCCCGACACCCTAAGATGCTCTGGACTCCTGAGACTTAGCAAGCACTCATACTGAAGAAAGGAGCCCTGGTGGCACACCAGTTTAGCACTCAGTTGCAAATTGAAGGTTGGCGGCTTGAACCCAGGAGTCACTCTGTGGGAGAAAGATGTGGCAGTCTGCTTCTGTAGATTACAGTCTTGGAAACTATGGGGCCTTTCTATTCTGTCCTATTAAAAAAACCATACTCGCTGCCATCGAGTCAATTCTGACTCATAGCGCCCCCTACCGAGGTGGATTGTTCAGTCTTCCTTTTGCGGAGTGGCTGGTGGGTTTGGACCGCCAACCTTCTATTAGCAGTCAAGTGCCTTAGGCACTAGGCCACCAGAATTCCTTATTCTGTCCCATAGGGTTGCTATGAGTCGGAATCAACTTGACGGCAGTGGGTAACACTGAAGATGGCCCTGGGTGGTGTGAACGGTTAATGCCCTCTGCCACTCACTGAAAGGTTGGTGGTTCGAGTCCATCCAGAGGTGCCTCAGAAGAAAGGCCTGGTGATTTGCTTCCAAAAAATCAGCCACTGAAAACTCTGTGGAGCACACGTCTACTCCGACGCATGGGGTTCCTATGAGTTGCAATCACCTTGATGACAACTGTTAATACTGAAAATAATGTGAAAGGGAAGGAGAAAAGGGAGGGAGTAGGGAAAGATAAAAAGAAGGGAAGCACTGTGTTCAACAAAGACCTGAGTGAAACCTGGATTTTCCTTCCACAATCTTACCTTGACCTGATTGCTTAGATTCTCTTATTCCCGTACTTTCTCAAATCTACGTTACTTTTTGTAATCAAATTTCTAGTGATTGGAAAAGGAATACTGTCTTTGGGAAGTCATTCCTAAACATGTCTTAATAATGGCTTAGCACATTCAAATTATTGTAGCCCCCTCCCCTGTAAGGGTTTTAGTTCAATTAAACAAATACTAATGTTTGTTGTAGGAGCTCTGGTAGTGTAGTACCTAAGACACTTGACTGCTAACCAGAAGCCTGGTGCTTCAAACCCACCAGCCACTCCTCGGAAGGAAGATTGGGCAATCTACTTCCGTAGTGATATTGACTCAGAAACCCAAGGAGGGGTCACTATGAGTCGGGTCCAACTCCACGGCACAAAACAACAATAATAATGTTTGTTGTGGGCAGGTGTCATGCTAGTCACCCGTGTTCACAGTGAATAAGGTAAAGCTGGGCACTGCAAGCACAGCTTTTACAGTCTAACAAGGGGTTACCACTGACCTAAAATGGTATTTAGCTCTTTCATCATTAACGTAGTGGAGCACAGTGAAACGTTAGCTTATTACATTGAGGTTTGATGGCAGCAATGGATGACTCTGGGACTGGTGAGGGGCCTCACTGCAGTGGCTGTGCTGCAGTACCAGTGTTCTGAACAGAAAAAACAAAACCCCACTATTTCCTGTTCCCGAAAAGCCATCTACGAGCTTCATGTGTGTCACAGAGAAGCAGAGGACACGTGCATGAGATAAACCTAGATTTGCTGCCAGGGCTGACTGCCGGGAGCCAAGGACTTGTACCAGATAGCGCTTTGGTTATATAAACAAACGTTCCCAAGTTAGTAGGATTTTTTTTTCCTTCTTATCCTTATTTTTTCCTTTTTAGTTGACCTACCCTTTACTTTCTTATGATGAAAAATTTCAAATATATACAAAAGTAGAGAGAATGATAATGCACACCTTGCTTCAGTAATTACTGACATTTTGTCAACGTCATTCCATTTATACACTAGAAGGCACTTCTAACATATGGTCTCTGTTTCTTACATAATCACAATGCCATTATTAGAACTATGAACATAATTCCTTGGTATCACTTAATATCCAGCCCATATTTAAATTTCAAATGTCTGGATTCAAACATGCCATTTGTTGAAGAAGCCCCATCATTTTGTCCTACGGAATGTCTCACATTCTGGATTTGGCTGACTGCTTCTTTGTAGTGTCTTTTAGCACCCTCCCTCTCCTGTGTTTCATGTAAACTGTTGTCTACACTTCCCTCATTTTTAAAAGTATGTGGTTACAATTTTAAAACAAAATAGTGACACTGGAGGAATTTAATGGGCAGGGAGCAATGCTGGAGATAGACTGGTGAGGAGGTCAGCAAACAGGTCTGCTGTTCAGGGACATCTGAGCTAGATGAGCTCACCCAGGGAAAATGCGGTTGCCATGAGTTGGAGTCACTGAATGGCAATTTTTTTTTTTTTAAATTTTATGTGCTTACCCTTACCCCTTGATAAGCAAGGACAACAGTAGCATGTGACATGATCTCCGATTATGTTTTTTCCTTCAGTATCCCATCTTCACCATGCTTACCAGTGCTCCAGTCTTTCTCTGATTGTTTGATCATTCACAGATGAGCTGTGTGATCATAAACACCCTTTCTGTGCCTCACTTTCCTTCTCTTTAAAACAATATTTTGACTAGATCAATGGATCTAGTCCACATCACTAGGAGAGCCGCACTTCCTATTTCTGATTCAGTAGGGACCTCAGAACTTGCATTTCTAATAGTTCCCAGGAGATGCTATGCTGCTAGTCCAGGGAAGAAACTTTGAGAACCGTTTGACTTTTTCTAGTCTTAAAAGTCTGTGATTCCAAATACATGACATTCTGGAAAAGGCAAAACTGTTGAGACAGTGAAAAGATCACCTAGGCCAGAGGAAAGGGGGAGGGATGAGTAAGTGGGGCACAGGGCATTTCTAGGGCAGTGAAACTATCTTGTATGGTACTGTAATGATGGACACATGATATTATGCATTTGTCAAAGCCTAGAGGACAGTACAACACAGTGAACCCTAAGGTAAACTATGGACTTAGGTTAATAATTCCCAAACCTGTTGCTGTTGGTTCCAACTCATAGCAATCCAATGGGACACAGCAGAACTCTCATAGGGTTTCCAAGGCTGTAATCTTTACGGACATGGACAGCCATACCTTTCTCCCATGGAGTGGCCGGTGGGTTCAAATTGCTGACCTTTCAGTGGCAGCCAAGAGCTTAAGCACTGCACCACCAGGGATCCTCTAGTTAATGATGCACTGATACGTGTTCATCATTGTAACTCAGGTATCATAGGAATGCCAGCCATTAAAGGAGAAATCATATGAGGGGGATATAGGAACTCTGTACTTTCTGCACAATTTTTCCTATAAACCTAAAACTGCTATTAAAAAAAAGTCTGTTAAAAAAAGGACTAGAGAAAAGTTTAAAAATAAAACTCTAGGATTCCTCCACAAAACTGCATTACCTACTCTCAGTAATGGATTTAACAGCATCTCTAGTGAAAATTCACCATACCTCAAAATTCATATTAAATGGCAAGCTCCTCAAAGGCAGGAATGTTTCTATTTTCCTTTTTTAAAAATCCCCTGCAGGGCTTAGCCAAATGCTGTGCAATCTGTAGACAGTATTGTTGAATGCCAATAATGGCTTAACATTGTCCACCTTACCTTCCTACCCCTCATGAGGGTCTCAGGGTCGGCTGTAGGCTGCTGTAAGCCAGAAGGCAGGACGACAGCAATGGAGGCTCTCGGTACATGACCTTACATTGCTCTAAATGAAACCAGACACTTGCTAGGTGCTTTCTGATATGCCTTTACTGATCTTGGCAGCATGTGATATTTTC